GTGGGGGCGTGTTAGAACGAGCCATTTTAGGTAGGCGTGGCTGACTCTTAACTTTTATAAAGAATATCTCTTTGGATTTGAGACTTTAGTCTTTGCAACTTTACAGATCTTCTTTATGCACCAAGAGCTTGTAACACCCCAAAGAGAAAGGAAAACTTGAAATCGCATCATATGACCCCTTTAACCAAGATCTGATGGGTAAAGAAAATTTGTAGTTTAGATTTATTTATTTATGTTTCCTCTTGCAAAATGATGCTAATAAAACCTACTGGAAATGTTTACATTTAACTAAATCTAAATGTCTATTTAATACATCATTTCGTTTAAACAGAAGTAAACGATAAACACCCAATTACGCCATGACGTAAAAGAATTTCTGAATCATTGTAACCGGTTCTTTGAAATGAGCTGCTCGAAAGAACCGACTCGCAGAGATACCTTCCGCACTTGCAGTCAGATACCACAAATAAACCGAACAAACTGTTTTGTCTTCACGTTGAGTGGTTTACCTTTTCCGTATTTGACTACCGCCACGAGTTAACTTGTAGTCGTCTGTATCTACAATACAAAGGGATTCCGAAGATTAACTGAAAACTAACTCTCTCTCTCTCGCTCACACACACACACACTCAAAGCGCGCGCACCCAAGAGTGAATCGCGCTCGTGCGCTCGCTAACAGGTGTTTCTCTCACATGGCTCTGTTCTGTGTGCTGCTGTGACTGACTGCTTTGTGGGATGCTGCGAAACGTGTGCTCGGTGTCTGGAGGAACATCTTCTCCGTTTTTAGTCGAAATGGCTAGATAGTGACATTATCTGGAGACAGATGCGGTAAGACTGCAGCCAATTGAATGTAGAACCGTTTGAGGACTTTATCTCCGAAGAAAATGAGCGTTGGAGAGATGCGCGTACCGTCACCTACATAATTGCGTTTTGTGTTAAAGCTGTATTAGTTTACAACTCCTTTCCGCCGATCTGTCATTCTCATTAACGAACGATGGCGGTGACTTGTGAATGAAGACTTGAATGTGAGCTGTTCAGTGAAGAAATAAAGAAATCGTGTCGTTGAGGAGGTGGGGAAACGGATTGTGTCCTCTGAAAGTTTTGGGTGTCGCACCGTCAAACTGGCCATGGCTGCGGCGATCGCCAGCTCCCTTATTCGGCAGAAGAGGCAGGCGAGGGAGCGTGAGAAATCAAACGCCTGCCGCTGCGTGAGCAGTCCGAACAAAACCAAAGGAACATGCGAGAAACCCAGTCGACTCAGTGTCTTCTCCAGAGTCAAGCTTTTCGGCTCCAAAAAGCGCAGGAGGAGACGACCAGGTCTGATGTTACCTGTGTTTTTGAATCCTGACTTAATATGGCTATTATATGTGTAACTGCATCTCTGTCATTATCAATGCATTTGTGTCTGTACTTTTAAAAATAATGGATTTTAAAATGTTGCATTTTGAATTTTCAAAAAGTACTTGCCATTCCTATTAAGCAGGACACTTACTGCTTTCAAAATTCAGCCAGCATGTACTTTCACACTTTAGAGTGAGATCTCATTCAAACTCAGATACACGACCTTACTGAACTTTTCAGGCATTTTGACCAAATAATTTGTAAGGGGGAAAAGACAGAATTGTATACAACTTTGTTATTCTGCAGATATTGTGTTGCAGTGATGTTGATACTGATTCGGTGTCAGCTCTCTAGTGTGTTTCATCCCTTCAGAGACACAGGGACAATAGAAAGCAAACTAAGCAGGTTATTGTTTGGCACATTTTTGGACAACAGCTATCTAGCAAGCTAGATGAGACTCTGGTGATTTAGTCTCACAATCTGGACCATATAGATATTCTGCAGCAAAATTTGCTGTTACCTGTTTTGAATGATTTTTATAGTTTTATTAACTACGGAAAGTGACTTCAGGTCAAATAATTAAGTAACATAATTCATTATTGATATTATGATGATCTGTGTGTGGTCAGACTTTGTGTGGATGATCTGTAGTTTACAACTCCCTCCATAAGTAGCAAGACCGATCATATTCTGCTTGGAAATCAGTAGAAATTTTCTTTAATTGTGAAGTCCATCCATCCATCCATCCATCCACCCATATCTATCTATCTATCTATCTATCTATCTATCTATCTATCCCACGCACACATTCAGCACAACTGTTTACGTACAAGCTTGTCATTGTCCCAATTACCTTGCCTCCCTCCCCAGACAGCATCTTACATAACCCTTATGTGACACCTAAGCAGAAGTGTGGAAGTTTGTGTGTGTAGTGGCAGTTGTTTGCAGCAGTGATTCTGTCTTTATTAAACAGTCTCATGCCTAACAATCTTGTTTAAAGATGCACATGGACCAACACACATGAACATAAGCATATATCCATATCCATGTTTAATAAGTTGAGAAGTGGTGCCTTTTCGAAATGAAATTTAGTATGTTCATTCAGACATTTATCCAACCAGTTGTAATGTATCGATACTGTACCGTACTATAGCATGTGTTATGGTAATGCATTTTGGTTTATTCTGGATTTACTTCTAATAGCCTTATTTGAAATATGCATATTCTCTTAGCATTCTCTTGACTGAAATATTAGGGGATGTTTTACATTTTAAATAGTTTAAATTATATATAAATAGTTTTTATTATAAGATGTAACCTAATATCCACATTTTTTAATCTCCTATGATAAATGAAAGTTAAGCAGTGTTAATAGCATGATCCACCGACTCTCTAAGCCTTATTAACTACAGATCTGCTGATGCAATCTGGTATTTTGCACAGGAGAGCTGTGTCCTGTATAGTTGTGCTTCTTCGTTCCAGTCATGCAGATCAGACCCATGTAAGGTGATATAGCTCTCTGCATTTACATATTCGCATGAATTCTTATCATGGCCAGAAGACTGCAGTTTCCTTGCAAATTGCAGCTCTCACCAATTTTCTATGTGGTGGCTCTGGTGACTATTCCCACGTGTATATATATATATATAT